ATGTTTGCGTTCAGCATTAAAGCTGTTTTTGTTTAAGTTCTGTCTCCGGAGTCTGCACCTTGGGTCCTATTCCTGCCTGCACACAGCCACACCTAACAGTCATTTGTTGTAACGTAAAGCCGCTTTTAAAGCTTCACAGTTAACCAACAAAAAAAATCACTGTCAATGTCAATAAATGACTCATTTTTATTCATTTAAATGAATAAAAATGCGATTTTAAGTCAACTACGGTCAATCACCTGTTAGCTAACATAGCAGCTAGCTGGCTAAACTTAGCTTATTTTTTGCTAACATTGTCACCAGCAAGGTATTACCTCATGTCACATAATTATTAACTATGTGGAGTTTGTAATGTAATTTTTGTTGTATTTCTTTACTGACGTCACTAATTAGTAGACTCACTTTATCATTTTGTCAAGTCATTATAAGTCGTTGTTTATGTTTCTTACTTTAAGTGTTGTAGGTGGGGAGAGGAGGTGAATTATGTAAAGGGACTCTGATGGTATGTGGTAAAATAGGCTGAATGGAAATCAATACACAGGCTGTTAGAGGCAACCAAAACAGTTGTGGAAAGCCTAATATTTCTTAAGTGTTATGAAAAATGTTACAAAGTTAACCTTGAGAGTAGCAAAGCATTTCACTCATCAATAGTAGTCTGCAGCCAAGCAGATAGTTTTGGTATAACGTGTCCAGTTTTTGAGATAACTGCATGTTGAAATTATATGGCCTGTGTCCACATAATATAGTATGGAGCATAGTTTCACAGAGCCTGGGCTCCTTGAATTTAAAAAGCTGCAAACTCCCAACAATGAAGCCTCAGTGCTTTACTGGGAGCACACCTGACCTCAGTTAATTTGACAGAAATACAGCAATGCGTTTGTTGTGCAAACAGGCACAAATAGACACACAAAATATATATTTGTTTTCGAGCCTTTTAGAATTTTTTAATAGATTAAAGGAGCGAATACTGGCAAAAAAAAAAGACAGTGGGAAACTGAAAGAGTGCAAAGCGAGAGTCAGGCACAGGGAGAGAGACCAGGGTAGGCTGAATAAGCTGTTTGTTTGTCCCTCTGTTGTCCACCCTGGGCTTGCCTTGTGCCTGGCGTCCAGGGTGATTTCCCTTCACAACGACCACTGCCGCTCTTGCATTAGTATTTTCACTGCTGTGAGCGTAGCATTCAAGGGTGTACTGTGTTTAGTTGCTTGCTCCTCAACGGGCCTCATTATGCAGGGAATGGGAAAGACCGAGCGAGGAGAGCAGGGCCGAGACATCGACCTGACATCGCTGAGATCCACCATGCCAGCCAGCGGGCCCCTTCAGGTTAGTATACTTAAAATGGCAGAAAAACTTATAAATAACTATAGATGAATTGCTTATTTTATTAAGCAAAAGCATTGCCTTCCTATCTGCCTTCCTTTTATTTCACCCTCTTCCTTAGTTCCTATTTCCCTCACTCTTTAATCTGACTTTTTTCTTAGTCCTGAGAGTTTGTTACTCTGAATCATTGCTTCTATCTTGGCTTTACCACAAAGCTGTGGTATGTTCTGCCTGTGTGAGAGCTGAGGATCAAAAGGCTGCCCTGTGGTTCTCTTGGTTAGGTTAAGTGCCTGTACTCGATCCCAAGACTAAGACACAACTACAGCATCCATCAAATATCAATTAGGGCCTGGGTGCAAAGGTTAATAATACCTTTTAAAGTAGCTGTGGGTCAAAGAAACAGGTATGCAGGAATATAGAGATAGAAAAGGGGTCGTAGTATAATTGGAGTTTTTAGAGGTTGCATTTATTTTTTGATATTCCCATACTTTACACACGAATTTAAGCTACATTTAGTTTATTCACAAATATTTTGGATTTTATTCAAAAAGATTGAAGCTTCTTTTTTCAAATAATCATCTGCCTCAATTTCACAGAAGTTATAGATATTTACATAACTGTTCCTGGTGTCTTCTGCTGGTCTGTAATAGAGGTAACAGGGTTCCTCCACATCAACCAGCAGAGCTATCAGTTACTGGCACAGTATTTTTAGCTACACAGTCTCCAGTGAACAAAGTGGGATTACTTAAGACAAGCTGTGTGTGTTTGTGTGCGTGAGTGCGTGTGAGACAGTGATAGATGTGGAAGACAGGGTATTCGCTCAGTTCATCAGCATATGTAAATGTCCATATTACATATAAATTTATTGTATATACATCATTTTGGTATGTAAATGATGTGTGTAAAATTCTCAATGAGATAAGCAGAATTCTGGATCTTAAATAAAGTGCTGTTTGCTTCTTTTTGTACATACATTTTTGGAAATGCATGCTTTTTCAACGCAGACAGTAAATGTCCTTTTCGGTGACCCCCTACTGTTATCACATTAGCGATAACTTTATTCTATCTCATAGGTTATCTGCCCGCTAACCACATCCAAATGTAGCATGAATGCTTGTACTGTTTATTCATAAAACTGAGATTCATAACACACTCTTTGACTTTTCACCAGTTCTGTTTTGATAAGTCGTAATCTGATAACAGTTAAACAGAGAACAATGTTACAGTTTATTGAAATGGTATTCAGCATATCTGTAGCAGGGGTTATGAATATGAATGAATGTGAATATATTAGCAGCAACTAATAAGACAGGAAGGCTTGAAGAGAGAGAAGAAAAAGACTTGTTTGGATAAGCTGAGAACCTGTACAGTACCATTTGGTCACGTTCTGCCACTAGTGACTCCAGTGATAATAACATCACTATAATATATGTATATCTGCAGATGTCAAGTCCTCCCCGGAACTATTCATTTGAACCATAGTGGCATAATTATATGATGACAGACACAAGGAGGGAAATGTGGGATCTTCAGTAAAGCAGAAACAAGTTTACCAAAGCATGCGTGCACATGAATGCGTGTTTAAGGAAGCATGTGTTTAAGAACTCACTCTTTCAGCACAATATGCATCCCGTATGTTATGCCAGCTCAAACTTGTGGTCTGTGTGTATATGACTAATGCTAATGCCTTTATTCATGTCATATGTATTTGTTGTATTGTGCCAACAGCCAGTTTAAAATCAAAACACTTGCATCAAGGTACTTTATACTTTACAGTATTCTAGTAAATACCCCAACAATCAGATTAAATTTTCTGTGCAAGCACTTTGTGACTGTGGGAAAGAAAAGCTCTCTTTTAACAGGGGAAAATAACCAGCGAAACCAGGCTCAGCGAGTTGCAGTCATCAGCAGCGACAAGAGCAAAAAATTGCATCATTGAATTGAATAATGAAAAATGTTGGCAAATAAGGGTTGTCAGATATACACACAGTGCTTTTAGTGTTTACGGAGCAAACATCTGACCATCATCTGAATTTGTCTCAAGACACACTCAGAATATCTTTGTCATGTGATTAAAAAAATAGCTATAAATTGAGCTTGATATAGGCAGTAGGTGGTCATCCATGTAGTCACCTGTCCAGGCTTTACCTCACCTCCTGCTCAGTGTCATCTAGAATAATAATGTATACTTTATTGATCCCCATGGGGAAATTACTTGTTTTTCTCTGCATATGACCCATTCGCTCAGTGAAGCAGTGGGCAGCCACTAAGCAAGCGCCCGGGGAGCAGTGAGTAGGGACGGTACCTTGCTCAGGGTAGCCGTTCAGTGGATTCGAACCCCCGACCTTCCAATCATGGAGCAACTACTCTACCTACTGACCTATCCCTGCTCCTAGAATAGGCTCCAGGCCTCCATAATGTTATCCACAATAAGGTAGTAGAGCTGAGGAATTGCTGGGATCTTTTTGGTTGAGATTTAGATTCATATATGCTACTGTGGAATAAAACAGGACTGTTGATACAGAATTATTACCCAGAAGGATTTCTTGGTCTTTGAGTTCATGACATCGTCACAATATCCTGATATAATGCAGTAGCATAGCTTCAGAGTGAGAGCTTCCCCAAAGAGAAGCATATTATTTTCTGAAATTAGATCTATGAGGCTTTCATTCAGTGTCTCTGTGAGCCTGTCATGATGAATCTATTTCCATGGTGTGAAAGCTTTACACCTCTAAGTCACTCTCTATGTATAGAGCACAGCAAGAGGGTGTGGAGCGCCAATACAGAATTAGGAGGAATCACACGGCCTCTCCAAGCTTGGCACTCATGTTTCAAAGAAAGAGAATGACCACACTGTTCGAGGAGGATGGTCACAGTATGTTTAGTGATTAGAAAAAAAAACCTCTTATTTTTAGTGTTTGATTGTGAACAAGCTCTTAAGATTACTTGGAGAAATCAATAAAGTGAAAATAACCTTAAAGCAGACATTAAAGACTAGAATTTGGTGTAAACACTTAAAATGTTGCTGTTCTTCCAACACCATGGATCCCCTTGGTTACCAACATTGCTAAATTTTACACGTATAGATTAAACCTTCCATGCTTTTTCAAGGATTTCTAGCTTATTCAGTGGTGACATTCAGCTTCCATAGTGTTGTTACAGACATAGAAATGGCATCAATATCTTAGTGTGAGGACATAATGCAAAAAGTGAAAATTGAAACACAGGCATAAGAATTATTTCAGAGAAGTGTAAAATCATGTGAGCAAGCCTGAGCTGGCCATCAACTGACTTTGGTAGATGTCAGGAAAGAAAGGTCACTTCAGAGCAAGTCTTGCACGCCAATCACAGAAAATAGTAGTGATATACATATTAGTTTACCAAAGATTAAATATAATAAGGGAGGTCTGCATGTGTCTTATATAGTACTATGAAAAATTCTTGAGTCACCCTAGTAGGTGCGACAGTTTATTAAAACGTGCAAACGTACATAAAATACATTATCTAAGGCAAAAACAGGTTTTACAACTAGCTTGAAAGTCAATATTTGGTATGATCGCCTTTATTCTTCAACTCAGCCTTACCTCTTCTAGGCAAGCTTCCTTTGATTTCTTGAAGTAGTCTTCAGAAGTAATTCTCCAGACTTCTTGAACATCTTTCAAAGGTCTTTTTTGGACGTTGGCTTCCTTTTGTTCCATTCTCTGCCGAGATGATCTGACACTGCTTACACAATGTTGAGGTCCAGGCTCAACATTATTCACATGGCTGATAGCATTCCCTTGTGTGTTCTTCTGTCCAGGTGCGACTTTACTGCCCTGGCAGTGTGCTTGGGGTCATTATCATGCTGAAAAAGGAACATCCTGCCAATCAGACACTTTCAGATACTTTCTATGATATTGCGTGGTGAATCGAATTCTGACCATATTCTTCTGCATTCAGTCCAGGTTTTGTAACTTGGCATACCTCAGCTTTTTCTCCCTGTTTTTTTTCCTTAAGAATGGCCTCTTGGCAACCACCCTTCCACTGAGACCTTTTCTGAGGCTGTGGTGAACAGTAGATGAATCATCTGAAGGGTCAGATGCATCTCTCAAGTCCTGTGTCAGGTCTTTGCTGGATTTTTCCCCCTATTTCTTAAGGACATGACTTTCAGATACGGTTCATCTGCTGTAGATTTTTTTTTAGGCCTGTCACCTCTTCTTTTGTCCTCCACTTGACTAGTTTGCCTAAGTCCTAGACAATAACTCTTTGGGAAAACTCCTTGTTGACTCATAAATACTGTTTTACACCTGTCAGACTGTGTTATCTTGAGATTTTTAGATTCAACTAAAGAAAAAAAAATTGTGACAGGCTATTAACAAAGTTCCTGAAGATAAAGTTCTTTGTTAGATAAGTTGCTTCATTAGGTTGTCTGTTACACTGGTTCAGTAAACACAAAATCATTCATCTGACAATGATCAGGTCCAAGAACTGGACTGAAAACGCGTGGAAAAGCAGCAAATATATATATAAAAAAGATGAGAGCTATTGCTCAAGACCACATTAAAAATTCCAGGAAAGTCTGGCTTCTTCAAAACAAAATATGCAGAGTGTACATTACTGTAGTGTCTATATAACAAGGACTATATCACAAAACTTTGTTTTTGATGCATGTTTATGCTTTGTCTTTCTTGTTTCTTGGCTATGCATCACATCAGTTCAATTTTATTTATATAGTGCCAAATCACAACAACAACTTATTGGGGAGATCTACATTTATTTGCACAAGTGTCTTCCTTATGGGCTCAAAAAGCAAGAACCCATCATAGTTGGGTTCTTGCTTTTTAAAGCTAGGTTACTACGAGTACACAATTGATTAGAAATGTAAATCAGTATAATGGCCTCTAAAGTTATGGAAACACAAGTCTGTGTGCATGTCTGTGATTGTGCGTGTAACCACCTCTTGGCCCCTACATGGCAAATGTTACATTCTGAGTGTAGGTGTGAAGTATGAGAGTGCATGCATG